CCGATGAGCTGAGTGAAGCACAGCAGGGCAGTGGCGCCATGGTGGTAGGTGTGCAGGAAGGTCAGGGGCTTCTTCTTCAGCACGAGGAAGACCGTGTCAAGGAGCTCGATGTACTTTGTGATGTAGTTGAGCTGGAGGGGAAGACAGCACGCATGTTAGCCGGGTTGCAGTCGCGAGCTTGCGAAATCTCGAGCTCACGCAGAGCCAAGTCTCGTCACTCACGTAGTACAGCGTGACCAGCGGCTGCGTCCAACCACCGTCATGGTTGCAGATGGCAAAGAAGATGCCGCCTCTGACGACGGTGCTGAGCAGCTGCTCAATGAACAGCGCGAGCAGCACGCCGCTGATGCAGGTGAGGATGAAGTTGTGGATGACGAAGGCGGTGCGCAGCTTGAACGGCTCGTGGTTGCGCATGAGCTCGCGCCCGACGAAGATGACGACGTAGTACGTGACCAGCGCGGAGGCGGTCTCCTTCAGCGTCGACATGGGCGTCGAGCCGTTGACGAAGCGGAAGTCCTCCGCCGGATAGCCCCGAACGGCCTCGAAGGCCTTGCTGAACAGGGGCCAGACGCGCACCCCGAAGGGCGCGTCCAGCGAGGGCACGCCGACTTTGAGTGCGTCGCACATGCTGGATGCTGCTGCCAAGGAGTTGGTGCGGTGCGGTCCGGTCTAGGTCCTGATCTAGGCGGGCAAGAAGCACTTGCTTGCGCTCGCACGCTGTGCTGGCTGAGACGGGCGCACCGAGCTGGCCACTGGTGTTGCGACTCGTGCGGAGGCGGGGGTCAGCTAGCTAGCTGAAGACCCGGTAGGCAGGCGTGCGCGACTCGGGTGGCAAAGCGAGCGAGAAGCCTCGTAGCGTCCGGCGTTGCGACGGCGGTGACAGCAGCAGTCAAGCAGTATCAGCAGCACCAGCACAGCCAGGTGTCAGCGATGGCGCGTACTCTCGTCTCCTTTTGCAGACAGTCCGACTGGCTTGCTAGCTGGCTACAGGAGCTGGCTAGCGACGGCGGCGGCGACGGCGGCGGCGGCGACGATGGGAAAGACAAACCCCCCAGGCCCGCAGAGGCGCAAGGGAGCTCGGACTCCGCAGTTGCGCGCGGAAATTTGACTGGTCGAGCTGCCACCGGCACTTTTTGGCGCCGACGAGAAGGGAGAAGGGGGTGGGGAGGAACCAAGCTCTCTCTTACAGAGGGCGAGGGCGAGGGGGGGGGAGGAGAAGCAGGGGAGACGAGAGACTGAGGCGCGAGAAGCTATCGTGGGCATGCAGCTGGTGGCTGCAACTGAAGCTTAGCACGCAGACGCAGCGGCGTCAAGCAGCTCGGCTGCCCCCTTTTTGTCTTGGCTGCGCTGTCCTCGTCCCTTGTGTCTGCTTTTCTGAGCGGATTCAATGCTTGCCAGTCAGCGCCTCGCGGCCAGGCCAGGACGAGCGATAAGCATCCGCCGGCCTGGTCTTGAAGCAGGCTACGCTGCGCGGGCTGATTGAGGCTCGATGCAGCACAGGAGCAGCTTGGAAGAAGGGCGGCGGAAACGGTAGAAACGGCGAGGGGAGAGAAGCAATATAGCAGCCCTGCCCACGCAGCCGCCCTCGCATGCATGCGATGCGCGAACGATCAGAAATATAGTGCGCGCTCGGACGCCTTCGCGGCTGGAGGCCTGTGGTGCGGCGAGCGAGGTGCCATGCTGTAGCTGCCGCTGTCATGGGTGCCTGGAGGGCCGGCCTTGCTTGTCCATGTCTGTCCTGTCTAGGGGCGTACGAGCAAGGAGGCGCTGACCAAGCCAGCCGACTCGTGCCCCGTAGACGCGACAATGCTACGGCTGTGAGGGCAGGACGTGCGGTACATCACCAACTGTCATGGCTGTCGCGCTGCGAGCCATTGCAAGGCAAGGCGAGGGGCGGTGCCACTGCTTACGGTGAGACGGTCAATCGCATGATGGGGGTCGCGCAGGCATGGTGCGCACATGTCGGAGGAGGGGGTTGCGATGAGCACTGCTTGCAACACGATGTAGCGTGCTTGGCTCGCCATGATCGTCACGGAGGCTGCGACGAGTCTGACTCGGCCTTCAGGCTAGAGCTCCTCTCGATCATGCGTCGTACTATGGTGACCCTGGCTTGCTCGTTCTCCCCTCTCTCAGGATCCTCGCCACGACACCACCACGCGTGCCATCTGGTGCTACAAGTATCAGGTGCTAATTGCGCGGTGGCGAGGAGTGCTGAGCGCGATGTCTGGCTGGTGGTACGCCAATGATATATGAGCCCTTCACAAACCCTGCATTTCAACAATCCAATGGGGTCGTGGTTTAGTGGTATAATATTCCCTTAGCATGGGAGAGGTCCGGGGTTCGATTCCCCGCGACTCCATTCTTTTTGCACAACCTGTCAACAGCGCCCTCTCCCCTGCATTCGCAGCAGTCAATCGCTGCCATGAGGCACGGCGATGCCATTGCTACGCAAACTCTGCGGCCGACAGATCACAATGGTCAGGCGTGGGAGAATCAGGGCATGCGGCTTCGGTCGCGGGTGCCGACGCCAAAAGTGCAGACTGCGGCCATCTCTTGTCGCGTCCTTCTCCGCGGAGTTTCAGCGACTGACGGACAGCTCAATCAATCCGCGCGGAGTAGAAAAGTTCACCGCCTGCTTTCGAGACAGCTCCCAGCAACTCAAAAGCCCATCGCACTGTGTTGGCATGTTGGCATCGTCCTGGAGCGACACAGCGAAGCCTGTCCTGCTCCGCCAAGTCGTCTACTCGAGCGCGCACTCCTCCCCCGTCAACCAGCCCTCACGTCTAGCCGTCATCAATATCAATGCAACTGGTTCACCACTCCCCGCCTCTAACTCCACCACCCTCTTCTTCCACTGCTTCAGCCTGTATACGATGCATCACTGCTGGCGGCGAGCTGCTCAGTGGGTTTCGGAATCTCCCCGACTCCCCCTTCACGGGCTCTCATCGCGAGAACGAGAGACAACCCGGCACGTCCTGTGCCAATGTCGATCGGGGCTCGCCGCCAGCCCGTCTGTCCGCGCTCATTGCGGCGTCGGTGGACGGAGACGAGACGAGGCGGCTCGCGCTTGCGTGCTTGCATGCTCGCCGCGGGTCGCTGGCCGTCTGGGTTGCGAGAGCAAATACCTTACCACAAGAGCCTTCATAGTTCATGCTGGCTGTGCGGCGTGCTTTGCGGCACGCCGTGCTCAGTAGCCTGCATGACTCCTTGCGCCTCTACATCTGAATAGCCAAACAGATCTATAGTAGGAAGGTATACTATATTCGCTGGCTCGTCGCCTATCACAGCTGTCACCATGCTCAGTGTCGTGATCGCAGGGGCGGCCGGCAGCCGCTTGAGGATGGTACAGTGGCTGCGTGCGAGCTCGCACCCGCTTTCATTGCGACGGCAATCGTGCGAGCAAATTCTTCGCCCGCCTCACACACATCACACGCCCTCACAGATCGAAGAGCTCCTTGAGCTGCTTCATCGTGTCCTCCGGCCCTGCAACCGTATGCCCGATCGTCCTCTTGTCTTCGAAAATCTCGTAGTCGTTGCCGCCCTTGAAGGTCTTGTCGCCAAAGAAGTGGATCGTGCTGTATTCGACGCCGCTGATCTCCTTCTCGGCCTCCACATGCTGCAGGCAGTACGTCTTATCCCAGCCTGTAGGGAAGACGTCGAACGAGATCTGTCCGCCGATGGAGAAGGTCAAGCCGTAGTCGGGAAACTCCTTGCGCAGCTGATCAACTAGTGTCTGGCGGATGTGATGCTTCTTGTCGAACCTAGCTCCCACGAACTCTTGTCAGTCCTTACATCTTCATGCTCGCAGCAGCATCGCATGACACCATGCACAACGCGGGTCGCCGTACTCCTCAAACTCATTCCTCTCCTCGGTGCTCGCGTTCCTGCCCACAGGGCTGATGTTGACCATGCCATTGCGGTACTCCACGAACGTGCCGCGCTTGAGAGGCAGCTTCACGTTCGCGATGTACTTGAGGCAGAAGTCGACGAGGTTCTGGTACCGCTCCTCGCCGATGTACTGGATGAAGCTGTTGCTGGCGAGGGGCTTCTCGAGCCGGATCGCCGTCAGGCCGTTCTCCGCGAAGCAGAAGTCGAAGAGCGTGTTCACGTTGACGCCGTTGGCGCCGAGCTGCTCTTGCTGCTTCGCCAGGTCTGAGCCGCCGACCTGCCGGACACCGATCAGTCAGAAGTTCCAGTCAGTCAGCTGGATAGACCGAGAGCAGGTCGCAATGTAGGTCGCGCGTCTGTCGTAGGAGAGGGTAAGGGGACAGGTTGGAGGCGTACAAAGCCAATGGCGCACTTCTGTCGCAGCTTCGACAGCAGCTCGAGCATCTCAGGGGAGGCAGTCTGAGTACGTCGTTAGCGACGATCGCGTGGTTGCACGACGGAGGAGGCGCCCACCCTCCGTGCAGGCGTCAATGTGCCATCGACATCGAAAAGACAGATCGTGTTCTTCACAGCCCGCTCCTCCAAAGGAGGGTAGGTGACTGTCTCAAGAGCTTTCGACATCTTGTGGTGTGCGACGAATCGGCGCAACTGCGGTGGTCTGTAGTGCCCGTGGCGATTGCAAGGAGTTGCTGTACTGGTGGCTTGACGCTGCAATCGAGTGACACACTGACGGATTGAGGATAAGGACCGAAGGACATCAATGAAGCTGCCACATGTCCTTAGCCTTCAGGACTCTACCCCTTGTTGATCTGCATAGGCATTGGCTGCACCTGTTGTCTCGGCATAGGCCGTGTCGAGGCGAGGCCCCACTCTGAGCACCGCCGGCTGACGCGAGTAGCTGGGCTGGCGCCGCAGTCTGCAATCCAACGAGCCTACGCGGCGCTGTGTCTGAAGCACTGCGGAGACACTGCAGGCGAGAGTCAGCGCCAACAGCGTTTTCGAAGTCCATTACATCGCCGCAAAACAGCTGCTCGGGGTGAGGTCTGACACAGTGCCTGTGTCAGCAGCAATTGAGCTGCGTGAGTGGCGTACCATGAGCCAAAAAGAAAGCGTGACCAAGCCCAGACTCGAACTGAGGACCTTTTCGGCGTTAACAACCGAAGAAATTTCGGAAATGTTAACGAAACGTGATAACCAACTACACCACTCGGCCTGCGTTGGATGTAACTCATAATATGATTATATGAGGGCGGTGGTCTAAGCAGGGCAACTCAAATGAGAAGTTAACTGGGAGGCACGCCCCATGCTAACGGGCCAGGCGAGTAGCTACACGGGATCTGAGGCTGACAGGTAGCGAAGCGCTGAAGCACAGTCTGGAAATATATTGTCGCACCGGTGGCAGTGTGGGAGGGGAGAATGACTCGTGGCGAAGGCTGCATAGTACTCGCTACATATGCCTGGCCTGAGCGCGTATGACCGTCTAAGGCTCAGCGACGTCCTTCGCCTCGTCGGACTTCTCCTTTGCCGGCCCTGTTTCCTTGTCCTGCTTGCCCTCTTTGTCCGCCTTGTCCTTCTCATCCTCCTTGTTCTCGTCCTGCTGCTGAGCGACCTGGTCTGCAGCGTCACCGTCCTTCTTAGCCCCTGCGGTCTCGTCGGTCTCTGCCTTTGCGGTCTCCTTCTCCGCTGCCTCCTCGCCAGCAGCTGCCTCTGGCTGATCGGATTCCTTCTTCGCTGACTGCTTCTGTTCCTGCTCAGCATCCTTCTTGGTGTCCTTCGCAGTCTCCTTGGGCTGATCGGGCTGCGCGGCGTCGGCGTCAGTCATGTCAACGTCCTCGTCAGCGGGCGTGGCACCCTCCTTCTCGTCCTCCTCCGGCATGGTAACAGGAGACGAAGCCTTCTCCTTCACCTCGTCCTCCTTAGCCTCGGACTCATCCGCCATCGTCGCCGCTGCCTCCTTGGCCTCCTCATCCGGGAGCACGGGTGTCGATGCAGGAACGGACTCCTCCGTTGACTGAGCTTCCTTCTTGTCCTGCTTCTCCTGTGCGGTGTCAGCCTGCTCCTGCTGAGCTCCGCTTTTGGCCGCCGATGACTTGGGCTGCTGCTTCTTCTTCGCGGCTTCCGCTTCAGCCTCGGCCTCAGCCAGTGGCTGTCGCCAATGACTGAGCAGAGCCAGGGAGCGTTCCCGGAATCGGAACTCCTCGTCCTTTGGGATGGAGGACAGCCGGACGATAGCTTTGAGAACCTTGTGGATCTTGGTCTCGCGGATGATGCTGACCTCGAGGTCTTTGAACGCCTCGAGCCGGTTGATGTACTGCGACAGCACGCTGAGCTGTGACTCGTCTGGCACCGCATCACGCATCAGGAAACCCTTCTGCAGCTTGTGGCGGAGGTAGAGGACTAGAGGATTGCGGGTCTCGGGGTTAGAATCACACCTCCAGGCCCAGACACGTCCTCGTGCACCTGTGTGCTTGCTTACCGAGCTGCTTGCGCTTCTGCATCTGCTCTTTCATTTCCTTTGCGGAGAGTTCCGCCTGCTCTTCCTTGGTCAACTCGGCCTCGCCAGCCTTCTTGCTCTTCGTCTTGCCCTTTGCAGATGCTGCTGCGGGGGTTGTCTTGTTGCTACCGCTGGCCTTGGCGTCCTTGGTGGCAGGTGCCTTCGGTGTTGTCAGCTTGAGTTTCATGCCGGCCGTGGGAGTCTTCGTGGGCTGTCAGCACTCGCAGTCACTGTATCTTGACAAGCAGGACGCACAACACGAGGAAGGCTGCAGCCACACATCGCAGGAAGTGAAGGCTCTGGCTGCCGCTGCTGATACTGCCAAAAGCCATGAATACAGGGGACTGGGGTTGTGGCGCCACGCTCGCGATTGAAACAAGCGATGGTCAAGGCTCGGTAACGTACCTTCTGAGTTTCGCCCTCGCTCTCGGCATCCTTCTTCCGCTTCTTGGACGGCTTCTTCTTGTCGGCATTCTCGTCCGCGTCGTCGTCGTCGTCAGCGTCGGCAGCGGCTATGCTCTTTCGTTTGCCCTTCTTGGGCGTCGCGACGCTCTTAGCGGCAGCAGCCTTAGCGGCAGCCTTGTCGGCCTTCTCCTGAGCCTTCCGTTGCTTCTCAGCCTCGCGGAGAGCCGCGGCCTCTTCCTCTCGCTGGACAGCATCATTGTGCTCCTCCAGAAGCTTCTTGAAGTAGGCCAGGTCATGGCCCTCGGCAGCAACCTTGTAGGCTTCGATCAAGCCCTTGGTCTTGCCCTTCTCGGGGGCCGTTGCGCACTCCTCCGGGGTAGTGGAAGTGAGGTCCGTGTTGGTTATCCACGTACTGCAAGTGGGTGTGGAGACACCTGTTAGTCTAGGGTACTCCTCGGAAGTGCTGCGAAGTGAGGAAATCGGAGCGCGCGGGCGAGCGGCGGTGTGCGGGTGAGACTGGAAGGGAAACTGGTAGAAAGAGGGGAAAGCCCGCCGATCCACCATTTCCCCCTCTCCTTCCGTGCCCTCGCTCTGACACGCACACGGACACGCACACACGCACACACACAGAGCAGGGCAGCACTCACAATTCGTTCGTTCCCAAGAACATGATAGGGAACGTCCGCTCATACACACGCTTGCCATTGTCGGCGTATGCTTCGTAGTAGGTGCCATCGACTTTCTTCGTCGTCACCGGCCGCCTGGCGGTCAGAGCAGGCGGTAGCATGTCCTCATCACAGATGATGGCAGGCCACGGCGGGTAGCTCTTCAGGCGGGCCATGTAGTATTCGCCAGGCTGGCAGTCCAGGTGCAGAGTTTTGCCCAAGGACTTTCTGCTCCGGCCTACCAGCGACTTGCGCTTGGGCGGCTTCCGCGCTGACGACCGTGGAGTCGCAGCGCTGGAGGCAGCAGCGGCGTTGTTGCCGGCTGCGCCTTCCTGTGTAGATGTAGCAGACTCGCCATTGGCGGTGTCCTGTGTCGCAGAGGCGTCTGCCTCTTGGGGCACGATGACTGTGGAGGCCTGGTCTTTCTCGTCCTTCTGCTCGGTGTCTGCGGCTGCGGTGGCAGTGCCATCGGCGGCCTTGGTCGTTGCGGCGTCGGCGCTGGCGGCATCTTTCATGTCCACATCGCCGTCGGCTGCGGCGGAAGTCCCAGTCTTGTCGCCTGCAGAGCGTGTGTCAGCCTGAGCAACTCGGAGCAGGTGCGATGCGATGGGCATGCCGAGGCCGGAGGCGACGCGTGGCCAGGACAACACGAGCGGGAGCGCCGACGCGTCCTGACGATGTGTGTCCGATCACCGTCTTAGAGACATCGCGTCGGGCTCGTACATACCATTGGCTTGCTCTTGTTTATTCTCCTTCCCAGCGTCGGGAGCGGCGGCAGCAGTGCCCGAAGCCGCTTTCTCCGCACCTCCCTTCTCTGTCTCGGTGACAGCAGCGGCGACCGGCTTCTCATCACCAGCAGGAGCCGCGGCAGCAGCAGCGTCGACCTTGCTCTCCTGGTCAGCCATTGCTGCGATTGAATCGAGCTGGTAGACGGCGTTTCTGAGTCTGCAATGGACAATTGGCGGCCGTCGCACTCGCTGAGCGATCCGGCCGACTGCAACAACGCTGGCGACCTTCTATCCGCCCGGGCAGACGACAGACGAGACAACCCAATCGCTGCCTAGATGGACGAGGCGGCGGTTCCGAGACAGCGAGCCGCACGAGACCGACCCTGGCGACGTGAGCGTAGCTAGCTGGCAGCCCGTGACTGCCTTCTGCAGGTGGGAGGGCGGTGGCCGATGTCTGTCTGGCTGGCTGGCGGAGGCAGCCTGGCGGGAGAGGGTGGGCTGAGGTGGGTGAGTGGTGGAGCGGAGAGGGTGGATGAGATGGAGGGCGCGGGAGGAGAAAGGCGCGGAAGAAGTTGGCTGGGCTGGTTAAGCCTGGTTCGGTTTGGCTTGGTTTGATTTGCAGCGCGGCGGCGCGGCTCCCGCTGAGACGAGAAGAAAATCCTGGACCGCGCGAAGAAACGGCGGCGGGACTGCGAAACTGCGAGTCTGCGCGCAATCCCGGGACACAGCAAAACACGAGGGCATTGATGCCGTGCGCGAGACGCACGGCTCGCAAGCACGCTGGCCCCAACCCTCACTCCGACGGGGGACTCAGGCGTCACACATGCCATCGCGGCTGAGAAGCATGCAGGCGGCGGGCAGCGTGCAAGGCCATGACAAAGCCAGTCACAATGGCGCTGGTAGTGATTGCAGGCCAGGCCGGTCCCGCCTGCTCCTGCCCCTGCCCCTGCCCCAGGCCAATGCCAATGCCAACGCCAATGTACGGTACATACTCACAGTGCACATATTTAGGACCGCTGTTCAAATGAAGGATGTTACTCCCCTCACTTGACTCACGCAGCATTAGGGTGACGCTGGCAGGCCCAGACTGAGCGGCGCTAGCAGCCCCTCTGGCTCAGAGGGCCTACGTCAGGTCCTCCCAGCAATGGTGCCGCAGCAGCGCGAGAGAGCAAGCTGGTCAGCGGCTCTCCCGGGGCTCCGGGCATTGACATTCACAGCGCTCGCAGGGCGGGTGGCCACGTACCCTGAGCAAACCAACCCCGATGCTAATCCCCAGGTTTCAGCAGGGCCTCCCAGCCCAAGCATGGTTACTCAACCCGCGCAAATGGGGCTGCGGTTGACGACTCCCAGGCCAGGCAGAGACGTCCGACTGGCTCACGGGCGCTGACGCTGTGACTCGCACCGTCGCCGGTGAGGCTGCGCCGCCTTCGCGAGTCATATCAGACCGACCTGCCGCCCTGACGATGAAAGGGCTCCAGCCGCCGGCGCTGGCATGGCTCACTCGGGCACATCGGACAGTGACTCCCTGCCAGGGTGACAGGAGCAAGCGTCGGAGGTCAGCCATGATGGTCAGTACTCGAATGTCGGCCTGCATGCCCTGCTTGCCATGGCCTCCTGACGTGGCTGGCTCGTCCGAGGATGCGAAGCCTTATATGCGGACGCCGACCCCTGGCCGGTCCACTGGCGGCGTGTGACTGAGCATGTCGCCGGCGTACGACAAGAGCGTTCTTTAAGGCATCAAGTCTCTCGGACGGCACCCTGAAAGCACTTCGATCTTACTGCCACCCACAGCCTGTCACCTATCACCCAACAGAGTCGGC